GGTTCCTTCCCTATCTGGTGATTTTCAAAGCTTCCTAGGCCTTGTGGAGCAACAGGACGGCAGACAAATTTTCTAGCTTTCCATAGGTCCCTGTGCTTTCTCTTACCCATGCTGTAACAATGAAGAATATGAGGCATAGCTTTAGGGGGTCTCTGGTGAGCAAAAATAAGACCTAACATTTGCCACGATGCTCTTTATGTTCTACCCACTGGCAATTCTAAAAGCAAGTCTTTCTTACCTTTGAAGTCTGGTCTTTACTGCCGTCGTCAACTACTATCACCTCGTAAGTGAACATGGGATCTTGTTTCTGCAAGAAACAAAAATAAAATACCACCATTTGGTATAACTACCATCAAGAATTCTAATAAAATTTTAAGGAATTTAGAAAACCATTCTTTTAGTATTGATGCATATAAATATGATCGTAATGTAAGTATACGTACACATATACACCTACACATAAAACAATCAAAACAAGGACAGGCACTGGCAGGGACAGAGGAGCAAACACGGGCTAAATCTCTCTGTGTGCACCCTGCTGTTCTCGCCTCCCGGCATCACAGGGAGGAAGTCAGGGCCTGGGGATGCTAAGGCATATCTGAGAGAGGTCTGAAGTCAGAGAGTCTACAGTCCAACCTGGCTCCATCACTTCTTAGCCTTGACCTTGGAAAAGTTAACTTTTTTGGCCTGTTTTCTCATTTTTCAACAAGGGGGGAAGTAAAACCTAGTCCATGTGACTGGTGTGAAACATACGTGTAATACAAAAAGTAGAATCCTCACACATACTAAGTGCTCAATTCCCTTGGTCTTTTCTTTGAATTTATACATACGTCACAGTCTCTATTTCAATGAATACTTTTCCTTTTCACACCCACACCCACAAAACCCAAATCAAAGTAAATCAAAACAAGGAATTTTCTAAAAAGAACCAGTCGTAAAGCTCACCTCACTGTCAAACTCCCCAAGGAGATTCCAATGGCAGCTGATGCTACAAAAGTGGGGCACACATTACTTTCCTTTACGTTGGGAAAAGAGAAAAATATCTGATGGGGGATTCTTGAGAATAATAAGGAAACATACAAGATCTGCAGTCATACGCTGTCACTCCATCTTAAACGTATCATCAGGAAAGAAAAAACAGTAAGTGTATGGCAGAGTACATAAGAGCAACTCCATTTTCTAGTCTGTCCTGGGGGTGCTCACCTGCCTCTGGGCATTGTGTGCTACGTGGTGGGCTTGCCTACTGAAGGCTGATGGCCAGCTACAAACTGCGCAGGCTGGAGGCACACCCGTCAGGATTACCGATGCACAGCTGGTGTTGCCTTGCTCGGAGGTCGGCTGGTACTGCCTCTCACACTGGGTCTAGCCTGGGTGACCTGGTCTAGTTTTCAATGGTGACACCAAATTGAAAGAGAAAACACAGTACCTGTCTCTTCTCTAGATAGTCCAGGGCTTCATCCATCATCATAGGCACTGAAAAAAAAAAACATTAAAAATCACTTTTGAAAATGAATCACCAAGGCCCGGCACACCCAGTTTATGTATGGAAAAAGTCTGGATAATCAAACTAGTCCCTCTGGGATTTGCTCCAGTGGTCATTCCCATCTGGAGCATCTTCCTCTGTCTTCTGTTCCCATCTCATTACTTTCCCAGAACACATTCAGTCCTACTTCCTCAAGCTCATTCTCCTGCTAGTTACAGCTAACATTCACTCCCCTCCTCTGAGCTACAACCACCACCGACTCTGCCACCCACGACAGCCCACACGTAGTTAATGTTCTGGCAAACACAGTAAAGGAAAGTACCTCAAATTTTCTTTTCTCTCCAAATCACTCCTTACCAAAAATTCAAATAGTGCTTACACCGTTTTTCTTCATTGTATGAAGGCACGACAACAGACAGCTGTTTGGTAGGGGAGTCCCATATGCTAGGTAAAGTTTCCTTCTGGCCTCTGGCGTTTAAGAAGAACTTCTCATCTTCATGTTGATAGAGGTGGGGCATTTTCACAGCAGTTACAAATGCAACAAAGGAAATCTAAAAGCAGACATGTAAAAAAGAAATGGTTTTGCTGACCTTTTTTTACATTTGTTTTGTTAAAATACATCATCTACATGACTTTTTTGGGGCAGAATACTCATTCTCTGGAGTCCCTGAGTGGTTATTGCACTTGGCTGCTAACCAAAAGACTGGAGGTTTGAGTCCACCCAGAGGCGACTCAGAAGAAAGGCCTGGCAATCTACTTCTGAAAAATCAGCCACTGCAAACTCTATGGTGCACGTGGGGTCACCATGAGCTGGAATCAATTCAATGGCAACTAGTTTTTTATATTCACTAGTTTCTTAAAAATGATCTAGAGATGACTCTACAATTAGAAGACAATCAGTGGCCTACTTATAAACCAATCATTGTCCTTTTCACCCAGCTAGTTGTTCAGACACTAATGCCATAGGAGGTTCTTTTTCTCTTCCCACCTGCCATTCCCCAGGCCTCTGTCATTCCAGATCTAACAGAGAACAGCCACTACAGGAAATCCAGTCCACTCTCAGGTGTCCCTCAGCTCTGATCACCAGCACACACACACAGTGAGGTTCCCTCCTGCAGTACTGTGCAGGCTGCTAATCGGTAAGTTAAGAGTGACAAACTCTTCTCCATTTACTAACTAGAAAGCAGGCTCATTCCAAATCATGTGGGGAGAATTCACTTGGGAATTCTTCTATCACCTACGGATCAGCGTTTAAAACGTTTTTGTATTTCCTGAATAATGGCAAAGAAAATCTGAGTTTGAATTCTACTGTGTTGACTCTTTTAGAGGCAGAAATTGCAGGCTGTTTAATTCTGAGACATAACGCCCCACAGACACATGGTAAAGTGATGAGCCTAAGCTTCGTCTTGTCTGGTCATCCTGCGTCCCTAGTGGGTCTTCCTAATCCACTGACTTATTCCAACCTGTAATAGGTCGCTGCTGTCAATCTTCCGTCACCACTTTTTATTTGCTTAACCATCCCAACAGAAGAGCGAGTCTTCTCAGGGCCTAAGACCTCCCCGGGTGGGGCCAGAACTGCACAGGCTGAAGCCCTGGAGGGACTCTTGGAAAGGTCGAGGCCGACAGGGCGGCTGGGCAGGGTCCCTGGGGACCAGGGGTGAGCGACGCAGGAGCAGCAGGCTGGGTGGGCGCGTCCCAGTGTGAGAACCGACACAGGCTCTGGGCAATAGGGAGACCGTCTCCAAAAAAAAAAGACCAGGAAAGAAGGGGAGTCAAGCTCTAGGAGAATAATTCTGGCATCAAGGCTTGGAGGCAAGAGCGGGCAGTGCGGAGAAGGGGACGTCCGGGGAGCCGGAACCTCCAGCAGAGCGGTGAGCCCAGGCCCCCGTCAGTCCCCAGCCCCAGTCCTCACCACTATCAGCGCTGCGGCCGCCAGCGCCACGCCGAGCACCACCAGCTGAAGCACGAGCGGCGCCATCCTCCAGGCTAGGGCCGCCCGGGCTGCTTCAGTCGCCCTATCCCGCCCTTACACGCACGCGGAAGCACGCTTCGGCCCCGCCTTCCGCCGCCAGAGAGGCCGCGCCGGCCTGTGCCC